CAAAAAAACCCCCCAACAAACAAACCCAACAGCTGCTGGGAATTACAGAGCACATTATTTGCAAGAAATACAGTAAGGGCAGTTTCTTGTTACCTGGCAAAAGCAAAAGTAAAATCTGCAGGCACAGGGAGCTGAACAATGAGCAGGCTGGACTCTCTGCTGCTGCTGTTACTACTAGGAAAGATCTTTTTCAGTTTCTTCTGCCTCTCGAAAACAAAGCACATATTTTATTCTGGGGCATGTTGTATGTGAGACAGTACGGTAATCAAATTGGTGTGTTCCATTTACAAGACTGGGGAGTCTACAGGGCTTAAATGTACCATTTGTAATAGCATTGGTCTTTTGTAAGCCTGTCCCTTAAATAAGTGTGGAGGGAACAGGGGAGTTAGGCTCAGGACAAAGCTCTGACCTCAAAAGCTCCTGATGGAACAGACCCACATTTAGACAGGAACCATTTATCACGATTGCTGTTTAGCCTTTTGTCCATTTCGACAACTTGCCAGAAAATTGTGGGCGAGCAATGGCAAAGGGTTGCTGTGGAGAGAGGCAGCTGCGGAACCTCCTGCTTGGCATAAGAGCCTGGGGGTGTGGGCTTCTGACAGACTGTTCTGCCTTTGCCCCTTTCCCACTGTGACCTTGAGGGAGTCCAGCTCAGCCCTCCACTTGGGCTTCCCCGATCTCTGCTTTTGAAGTTCATGATTTCCAAAACGCTCGGAGGTTTTTGGCAGGTGTTTCAGAAGCTCAGTGTGGCCTCATAGTTTATATCTGTTTTGGCTTGAAAGTCTGCCTGGCCTGATCTATTCCGCAACCTTTTTTCCAGAGCTCCCAAAGTCTATGGAACAGGCTGTCTGTGCTCTTGAACCTCCTGCCTTCTGCTGCACAACTGCAAGAACCAGGTACTGGGGAACACACTGCATATTTTCTCCCACCGGTATTTCCCCCCCCCCCCCGAAAATGTCCTGTGTCCAGCCTCATCTCATTCAGGCTTTCTGCATTTGATCGCCTTTCCAGTTCAGTAGTTGCTTCGTGTGCTTTGGTTAGCTGGTAGGGTAGAATTCAGCTTGTTAAATTGGCATATTCAGCTATCTAGCGTGTATTGATGGGTTAAAGCCTTATTAGAGCCTGGCACCTTGCGGTGGAAATCGGGTGTGATCAGTGAGCTTCAGATTAGGCCTGCGAATGGCATAAAGCCTGTCCTGAAGTAGCAGATTGTATCTGATTTGTTATAGCTGCTCTCACTATGTCTTGCTGCCTTTCTCTCTATCAAACCCAGGGCTGGCCCTGTGTAATGAGGTTAAGGACTTGCTGAGTGGCTCTGAGCTCCCAGACCTGAGCACCCACTTGCTGCTCCCAGAGGATGTGGCCCTTCGCAACCTACCCCCTCTGAAGAATGCACACAAAAGGTTTAACTTTGAGCAGGACAGACCCTTCCTCTCGCCGGTGGAGGAGGTGAGTGTGGGTGGCCCTGCCTCAGGGTTCAGGCTTTGG